AGAGACATGGTGAGAGAGGGAACACAAGCAGGGGGAGTGGGAGAGGGAGAAGCAGGCTTCCCGCCGAGCAGGGAGCCTAATGAGGGGCTCGATCCCAGGACCCTGAGATCATGACCTGAGCCGAAGGCAGACGCCCAACAACTGAGCCACCCAGGCGCCTTTCTAAGTCTTTTTCCTCTTCTGTGAAACAAGGAATTTAAATATCTACATGCAGGATTGTCTTAAAAATAAAAGAATATGGGGCGCCTGGGTGGCTCAGTTGGTTAAGTGACAGCCTTCGGCTCAGATCATGATCCTACGGTCCTGGGATGGAGCCCCACATCGGACGGCCTGCTCCTTGGGGAGCCTGCTTCTCTCTCCCTCTGCCTGCCACTCCCCCTGCTTGTGCTCTCTCTCTCTGTCAAATAAATAAAATCTTAAAAAAAAAAAGAATATAAGGCACTTGGAACTTAGAACAGAGGATTGCTTAAGGAGCAGATGGGGAAGGAGAATGTCTGATAGGGTTTGAGTAGCATCAGTGGGAGATTGGCAGAGAATGATCAACAACACAAATCTCAAAACTTAGTCAAAGGGAACCAAAAAGTGTTAGTTGAATTCTGAGTTGAGATTAGTGGTAATTTTAACAAGAGTACTTTCAGTGGAGGTTTAGGGCCAGAAGTTAGATTGCATTGGATTAAGGAGTGAACATGCAGTGAGGAAGTGTTGACTGTTCTTTACAAAAGCTGGGATCATGACCTGAGCCAAAGGCAGACGCTTAACGACTGAGCCACCCAGTTGCCCCAGTATTTTTTATTTTTTAAGTTGTTTGATGAAAGATGATTAAGTAGCTTTTCTTAAAAAGGAAGCCCAGCTTATTAATGTTGAGAGGTACAGCATTTAGGCCAGAGATGGTATGTGTTTGTGTTTTACTATAGGAGTTTTCAAACATTCACAAAAGTAGAACTCGGAAAAGTATCCATCAGCCAGCTTCAGTAGTTAAGATTTTGGCCATCTTGTTTCATTTTTTTCCTCCCCAACCCCTTCTTCTACCCCTGGATGGACTTTTTAAATTACAGATCTCTTGTCATTCTCCCTATAAATACTTTAGTAATACATCTCAGAACTTTTTTTTTTATTTTATTATTTTTTAAAGATTTATTTGAGAGAGAGCATGTAAGTTGGGGGAGGGGCCAAAGGAGAGAATCTTCAAGAAACTCCCCACTGAGCTCAGGGGGGAGATCATGACCTGAGCCAAAACCAAGAACTGGATACTTAACCAACTGAGCCACCCAGGCGTCCCTTATTTTATTTTTTATTATAATTATTATTTTTTCTTTTTAGAGAGGGAGAGGGGAGGAGGGGCAGAGGGAGAAGGGGAGAGAAAAACTCAAGCAGATGGGTAACTCCATCTCACAACCCTAAGATCATGACCTGGGCCAAAATCAGTAGTCGATGCTTAACCGACTGAGCCACCCATGTGCCCCTAGAACTTATTTTATTTATTTATTTATTTATTTAAAAGATTTTATTTATTTATTTGCGCACGAGAGAGAATGAACATGAGTGGGGAAGAGGGTCAGAGGGAGAAGCAGACTCCCCGCCGAGCAGGGAGCCCGATGCGGGACTCGATCCCGGGACTCCAGGATCATGACCTGAGCCGAAGGCAGTTGCTTAACCAACTGAGCCACCCAGACACCCTAGAACTTATTTTAAATACAGCAGTATAACCACTGTAATATTATCACATCTGACAAAATTAACAGTAATTGATAAGGGGGATACATCAGCTTCCCAAAGGGGTTCATGATACCAAAAAGTTAACCACTGTTAAGTCTTGCCACTTAATATTATGAACTTTTGGGCATTGTCCTCTTGCTTGCAAACTCTGATTTCCCTCCTCCTCCCCTTCCTCCCCGATTCCTTAGATGTGGTAGGCACCTGTAGATTAAGATTCCTTGGAATTAATAAAGGTGTTCCTAGCCTGATCAAAAAAGATGCCTTATTTTTTATCAATATAGACTTTTATTTTGTCTTCCTGTTCACTACACAGCTTTTTATGCTCACATCTTGAGTTCTCACTTTTTCACTTATTATTTCACAAAATTAAAAAAAAGTCTTTTTTTCCTTTTATTTTTTTATATATGGAAATGTCAAGTAGTCAGAGGAAGCTGCTCTGTAATCAGTAGACGGGTGAGATGAAAACTTGTAAGAGCTGAGAGATTGTTTTCTGCCACAGCCCTGAGCTATGCTTCGTAGGTCCGTTTATCATTTCTTCTGTTAACTGATTTCTCAAAAATTTTTTCCCAAATCAAAATAAACACGATACTAAACATAGGGCTTCGTAAACATTTTTCCCCACCTACAGATAAGAATCCATCTTTTTCAAAACTTTTTCTTAATGTGCATCAGTGGGAGGGATGATTTCATCATAAGGAAGAGGATTCCAGAGGGGCATGGAACATGTTTGTATTTTATTTTGAAATAATTATAGAATCACAGAGAGTTGCAAAGATGGGTGGAGAGCATGTAGGCCCTCTGTGTCCTATTTTCGCCCAATGGTTACATATTACATAACTATAGTACATTATCAAAACCAGGAATTTTACATTGGTACTGTGTGTGTGTGTGTGTAGTTCTGATGTTTATTACATGTGTAGCTTTCTGGTATCACCTCAGTGAGGATAAAGAATTACTCTATCACTACACGTACCTGCCCCCACCACCACCCCCTGTAGTCCTACCACTTCCTCCACCCCATCCCTAACCTCTGGCAATCACTCATTTGTTTTCCATTTATGTGATTTTGTTATTTTGCAAAGATAATATAAATGGACTCATAAAGTATGTCCTGTTTTGAGACTGGCCTTTTTTTATTCAGCATAATGCCCCTGAAACCCATCCAAGTTGTTGCATGTGTTAGCAGTTCATTGTGAAAAAAAATTTTTTTTCAAGTAATCTCTACATCCAATATGGGGCTCAGATTTACAACACCGAGATTAAGAGCTGTGTGTTCTGCCGACTCACCCAGCCAAGCACCCCCATTTAAAATATAAATGGGGGCACCTGGGTGCCTCAGTCGTTAAGCGTCTGCCTTCGGCTCAGGTCATGATCCCGGGGTCCTGGGATTGAGTCCCACATCGGGCTCCCTGCTCCGTGGGAGGCCTGCTTCCCCCCTTCCACTCCCCCCGCTTGTGTTCCCTCTCTCGCTGTGACTCTCTCTGTCAAATAAATAAATAAAATCTTTAAAAAAAATAAAATAAAAATAAATGCCTTGTTAACTCACTATTCCAAAATTCAGTCCACTCAAAGCTGCCTAACCTCAAGTTTAAAAAGGCCAATAAGGCCTAAAAAGGCCTATAAGGGTATAGGTTTATAAAGGCTTATAGATTTTGTGGGCATTTTATAATGTAAATATTTATAATATATTCTATAAGTTTTAATAAATTATATTACATTTACATTATAAAATTACCATTAAAACACAAATTAGTCTTTTTAAAGTAGATGACATATTTAAATTAAATATAAAGAGCTTATATGGGGGCGCCTGAATGGCACAGTTGGTTAAACGTCCAACTCTTGGTTTCGGCTTAGGTCGTGATCTCGAGTCCTGAGATCGAGCCCTTCGCCGGGCTCCATGCTCTGTGTGGAGTCTGCTCTAGTTTCTCTCTCCATCTCCTTCTGCCCCCGCCCCCTGTGCACACAAGCTCTCTCTCTTCTCTCAAATCAAAATAAATCTTAAATAAATAAATATACAGAACTTATATTAAGTTTACAAAGCTTAGAAATAGTATAAGACCAGCGTTCACTGGTTATCCTGTTTTATAAATGGCTTTTCATTTAAATAGGAACAATTTGGATCAGCCGTTCTTTCTTTCTTTGAAATAATTTTGAGATTTACAGAAAATTACAAGAATGGCACAGAGAACTCTTGTATACCCCATTTACTAACTTTAAGCATTTTGGCATATCACTCTTCACTGGTGAATGAATCTATCACTCTGTCCATCTATCAATCCGTATATACATACACACATACAGATAATTTTTTTTTTAACACATTGGGCTTAAATCTATCAGTATGTAATTCTACAGAACAAAGACACCCCGTTTTTTTTTTTTTCTTTCTAAGATTTTATTTTTAAGTAATCTGTACTCCAAACCTGGGGCTTGAACTTAGAACAGTTGCATGCTCTACTGACTGAGCCAACCAGGGGCCCCGCTACAGAACAAGGGTATTCTTACATAACCACCGCACAGGTAACAAATTCAGGAAACTTAGCATCGATGGACTATTTTTGTCTACGATAGCTCTTTTTGTTCTAATGTTACCAATTTTTTTTTCTTTTTTTGTATTTCTCCCCCTCCTTTCTAGAATCTACTTTAGGGATGGATGTTAGTTGTCTTTTATCTTTAATTTTCTCTATCTAGTATGGAACACTTTTTCAGCTTTTGTCTTTTATGACATTACCATTTTGGGGGAATACAGGCCAGTTAATTTATAGAACGTTCCTTACGATGGTTCCCTTGATTAAGTCCATTACTGCCTGGGACACCATTGGAGTGATAGATACTCTGTCCTCAGGGAATTAAATCTAAAAAACATACAGTGTCCATCAGTGTCTCATTGGTGATGTTAATTTTGATCACCTAATGAAGATGTTCAGTTTCTCCATTATATGGGTTCTGTCTTTACCATTACAAGTAATAAGCAGTCTGTGGGCAGATGCTTTGAGAGTATGCAAATATCGTGCTCTATCAGACTTGGACCCAAAGATTTAGGGGTGGTTCTTACTGATTCTTGTCCAAACTGATCTTTATTTTGATGGTTCAAAGTAAGAATCAGTCTTTCTAAATTATCTTGTCCTGAAAATTCAGCTTAACTTTGGAAATATTTATTTACTTACTTATTTTATGACTTTGATCTGTATGCATTGCATATAATCATTGCTAGTATGTTTTAACTTAAAATGTTTTTTAAACCTCTGTATTTATTTTTAATCCTTTGCTGCCCTCTGCAGGTCTATGGATATAAATCTTTGGAGCAAGGTAAGTATTGCTAGTACTGCAATTCCTAAGGTGATATATAAAAAGCTATTGAGAGCCAAAGTTGTAACAGCTTCATACATTTATGATGTGCTATTATAAATAAATGACTTTAGAATCTTGAAATTGGTAGTTTTTTAAAATGTCTTCCTAGAGCATGAAGCGATCCTTAGTCCTAAATTCTTCATAAGGTCTTCGACTTTTTCGGAGGACAGCTGTTAACATTATTGCAGTGACATTTGATTTACAGATCTAATAACTAATTTAAAATGTATATACATATACATATTTATATATGAATGATACATAGATAATTTTAAATTGCTCTTTTTTTAAGAAGTTAACTGCTTTTATGCAGGAAGTACAATTATCCTTATGCTGAATTGCAAGAAATAGTTGTAGTGAAGTAAAATCAGAATGTACATTATTAACTGGAATTCCCAATTTAAATATTTTTTAAGATCTAAATTTGACTGAATTCTGTTTTAAGTATTATACTGCCAAACCCTATAGTCAATTATAATTTATGATTGGGAAATCTGTATTTAGAAGTGATTTTTTTTTTTTGACTAGAAAGATTTTTTGTCAGTTTATTCATGAAATGTATTTTTGTTCAAAATTTGGTATTAAATGTAGCTATCTTAGATCTACTGTATGGTTGTAACTTCTGGTAGAATGTATTGTCTTCCTTCTATACAGTTTAAAAAACAGTTTGCAGATGAGAATTGTTTTTTTGCTTTGAGGACTTTCTACCTTAACTGTCCTCTGAATTGCCATTAACTGCAGCATGATTTTCCTGGTGGAGTGAAGTGGGATATGGTTAATTTTGCCTAATTTTCTATATTAGCAAATTAATAGTAGTAGAAGTAATTGCATTTTGAGTTGCTAACACTTGTAATATGTGCCAGGCACTATTTTAAGAGCAAATAAGTTCATTCGTAGAATACACATAAAGTAGTTCAGAATTCCTAACTCATGTCACTTTGGAAAAGAGCCATATGTTTCCGTTCTTACTGTCTTCAGACCCAAGGATGGATAGTCAGATACTGTGTTCAAAAGTTACAGGCCAGTACTGTAGGTTTTGTAATCATTTTCATCACAAAATACATATTTGGATTTCTTTAGTTAAAAATTTTGCCAGCAGAATTAATGTGGAAGAATACGTGTTGTGTGTGTCTCTTAGTATTTGTGCATTCAACTGCTAGGGATCTGTGAGGACAAGCCCAAGAGAGCTTTTGACCCCTTTGGTTTTTAATGCCATTAAAATAACTGGGAAAATGTCATTGGAAAAAAACTAAGAAAAATTAAGCTATTTAGTGATCCAGCATGTTTTACATTATTTTCTGTAATACTTCATTTAAAAGGAGGAAACTGGTCCAATTTCAACAAGACCTAAAACAACATGATGAGAAATAATACTGGTTGATAATTCCTAAAAGCTATTTCCTGTTTATAACAGTTGATTTAAAACAATACATAAACAAATCCATTTAGAGGGTTTCTTAGTGACATTTCATGAAACATTGTAGTTTTCCTTTGACATGGGTTTGTTTTGTTTTTGCTTTTAAAGACAAACCTATTATTTAAAAACAAAACAATTTCCTTGGCAGGTGGGGGTAGTATTGAATTACTGTGCTATAGAATAATACCTTACTGGGGAGAGGCTTTCTTATTTCAAGAATTCAGTTTTAGATTGTATTTGTTCTTGTTTGCTTCTCTTGCTGCAATGTGTGCATTTTCTGTCTTACCAGATAACAGAACTGTTGTATAAGGATGGACGTTATTGCCAAGAGCCTCTAGGACCAACGGGTAGCGTTTCAATTTCGATGATTGTAACTTACCCACCAATCCATTCTTCTGTAATGATGGGCTGGAAGGGTCACAGCAGTAAACATTTTCTTTTTAAAAGTGAAATTTGAAAACATTTGGTTTTAAATCTTTATATTGATAACCACAACATTTTGAGATCTCTGGGGTGTTTGGTTTTATCATCATAATTGTTTTGGGAAAGGCAGGGTTGGAGGCTTTTTCCTGTTTAGACACTGAGGAAAATGCTTCTTACAGCACCTGTGAAAATAGGCTTAACGACCAGTCATTCTTAATGTTTGTTATTTTAATGTTTTGGAGGTATAGTTAATTTTAAGTGTGTAAAACAGTGAAGGAGAGCTTTAGGTTTTTTTCCTACTTAAATATAATTTATTATCCAAAATACATTATTTTGACATTTAATGATTTTTGTTTTCCATATAATGAAGCCTAGAATATATGGTTTTCTTTAAGAAGGCACCCTTCTTGAAAGTTCACATTTTCTATCCTAGGTATTAACACATGGCCCTATACATTTTATGCTTGAACGCATAAGAAAATTACTGTTGTTACAAAACATCTTTGTTAATCTTGGTTTTTCATTGGCTAATAGGCAGCTCTCCACAGGATTACTGTATCTGCTTATTAAAATTATTTAACTTTCTATACTCAACATTTGACAGTCATTTCTAATTTTATGTGTTCCCTAAATATTGCCCACAAAAAAATTAGTGCAGAAATGTGTACAAGGCATTTATTTATGCTTCCTACTTGTGATTTGGACAGGAAAGGGGTCAGGCCTTGGGCAGGACCACTTCTGTCACAGAGTGGTGGAAAAAAAGAGATTGAAGTAAGATTCAGTACTGAAAAGCTGTCACTCGGTCTGAAAATAATTAATATTCCTTTCACTCACCAGTTAGATATGTGCTCCCAAACCACATAATCTCTATGCCTCAGTGATCAGTGTTGCCATTTCAGAGCCTCTCATCAGGGTGACATCTCACACCAAAATGATTTCTTATAAATTAATCTTGATAACATGACAGTCTCAGTAATTTTAGTGGAATGCTTTCTCTTGTTTTTTTCCACAGAAGCTGTTGGCTATTTTCTTTATAACTTGATTGACAGCATGAGTGACTCAGAGGTACAGGCCAAGGAGGAGCGTTTGAGACAATACTTCCATCAGCTGAAGGAGATGGTACCATTTCATTTTTTGCTATATAATGCCTGTCCTGTCTGACATGTATCTATTAGATTTGAAATTGCTGCTTTTAAGTACAACCAGACCACTTCTCAATGACATACACGAGTTGGAGACTTAAATTATGTCTGAGATAATTTCTGTTAGACAAATTTCAGTTTGGTTGTCTAAAACTCAACCTGTATTTGTTTTTTTCTTTCCTCCTTTCCCTTTGCACAGAATATAAAAATTCCTGAAAATATCTACAGAGGCATTCGTAATCTACTGGATAGCTACCATGTTCCTGAATTGATTAAGGTGTGTGTAAAATAGTAATCAATTTTTTAAAATGCTTAATTTATATATAAAAGCATGTTAAAATTGTATTTAACTATGATGCTTTTGGCCAAAAACGGTTCACTTAAATGGCAACCATTAAAAGAAAGCTTCTCATTGATGGTTGGTAAATACTGTTTATATATTGAAGGATGTGTTTAAAATATTTATTACAATGGTTACTGAAGTATGAATAGAATTTCTGGAAGATTTTGAAAAGATGGAAAAATAGTAACATAAGCTGAAACTTTTGAAATTCGCTTTTGACATTTGCTAATATATTTTTCCATGTATTTTCTAATTCTAATTTAAATCTCAATTTTAGGATGTTAATACATTGGTTGAAAGAGAGAAGATAGACTCTAGAAAAGTAAGTAGGTTTTTTGAGTAGATTCTACATGCTATAACCACCACATTTAAAGAGAATTCTAGATTGTGTCCTTATAAAACCAGTGGTTCCTAACATTTTTGTCATCAGTATACATCTAAGAAGTTGGTAACAGCTATTCCCCATCTCAGACAAATCACTGTATCTAAGACATTTGCGTATGTATCCCAGGAGCATCAAAAATCCCTGGAGTTCATCCACGGATCCCCAGATTAATGTCCTTGATAGCATTTATGACATCGAGGAAAGGTCGGCTTAAAGGGAAGAGTGACAAGGGGTGCATTTTCTTTTTGTAGTAAATTTCTTTCCTTTTCTTTCTGTTCCTGTAGACTACACAGCTGCCGTCATCTCTTTTGGAGTCTACACTTGAAAAACTACAAGCTGAAAATCAACCTATAGGAGATGTCCTAAAGCAACTCATACTAGCGCTTTGTTCAGAAGAGGTAACGTGTTTAAATATTTCAAATACGCTATTAAGGTAAAAAAATTCTTTAGAGATAAAAGTAAGCAAAGCCAAAAATAATATTTATGATTTTCACAATTGATTATTATACGTCATGTGTGTGACGAATGCAATTAAATGAAAGGTTAACTAATTCCAGCTACACCTTGAATGGCATGTTTTCAGGTTGCTGTAGTTTGTTTACGATAATCTGTGAAGTGAATGATAGTAACAGCCGTGATAGGTTTATCATACATGCCAAATGTCCTTTCAAGCCATGGCTCCGGTCTCTTATATCTAGATTGTCAAGCAACTGATACATGCAGTAGTCATTTGCAAGTCAAATATTACTGGATTGTTAATGCAGAGATTGAAATTCCATTTTCCTGCTGGAAAAAAGCTCTTTCCGAGATAAAGGGTCTCTTGCTTTTTTTCAGCAGGCGTCCAGCTGTACTTTGTGTTCATTTTAGTGTGTGTCTGCAATTTGTGGTATTTCACTAGACTTTTTCAGTTTCTAGTTCAATATGATTTAGTCACATGCCTGTTTTTAGGGGAAAGAAACATAACTGACTTTAAGATTATAACATAGTACTATTGAATTCTAAAATATTTTTTCACTTTGCTTGGATATTAAACTAGACTCTGAGGAACTTTGCCATGATAGATATTTCTGTGTATGGAAATTGGACTGTGAGTAGGGGCTGGCTTGGTACATATTTAATTTGGACATCTTTTTTGTAGTACCTACAAAGCTAAAACATCAAATTTGGCACAGCAACTTGTTTGGCGTTACATGTAACAAATCTTTTAAACCCTACATGTGTATCTTGCCTGCTTTCTGAAAGGTGAATAAAAACACAAAGGAGGAAGGTGAAGTTAATAACATGGATCCATTTGTTTTTAAAGTGCTATTAACTTTTTCTACACTCTGAATGCTATACCTAGAGATTGGACATTTTTACTTCTGTATCATTTCTTACTTCTTTTTTACTCCGTTATCTTAGAACATGCAAAAAGCTCTTGAGTTGAAAGCAAAATATGAATCAGACATGGTTGTTGGTGGCTATGCTGCTTTAATAAATTTGTGCTGTCGACATGATAATGCAGAAGATGCATTGAACCTGAAACAAGAATTGTGAGTACCCTGGCACTGAAGCAAATCATCAGCATTTATGCTGATAGACAGTCCTTGATGGATCATGTAAATTGAATATTACTCTTACAGAATGTCATTTTTAAAAATTCTTTTTTTGTCAGTGTTTTTAAAATTTCATAAAATGCCTCCCTTTGATTAATTATGGCTTGTTTTCAGCAGGGAGTCTTTGTTTAAGTATGATAAGACATCCTTAAAGCCAAGGTTTTTTCCCCACTGACTGTATAACTGCATATCATAAAAAGGGTGGTGGTAACTATTTTATAAGGCTTAACATTTCCCTTTCTCTACCGTAGTGTGAACAACATTCTGTCCATTTCTCAGGTATCTTTAGTTTCCCATCCTGATAGAGTTATTAATTAAAAAATAAGTCTTTTTGAGTGTTTCAATGTTTATGACAAAGTTAGAATCACCTAAAGTACTGTGAAGCAAAAGAGTTCCTTCATTTGTATCATTTGCAGATGAGGTGATGCAATATATGTGTAGTGGTAGATTTTTACGTCTTTTGTCACTTTGAATATAATTGTGAATTTGAGAATGGCTTCAAAAATAAACCTTCACTGAAATGTAGAGGCCTAAATAACAATTCAGAACAACTGACGTGTTTTTGAAAAGGATAAAATGGCTCTTGCAGTTCTTTTTACAGTCACCTTGTAACATAATATAATTTTTTTTATATTATGTTAAATTTTATATTATGTTAAATTTTTTTAATTTTTAGTGACCGATTAAATTCATCTGCTGTCCTTGACACTGGCAAGTATGTAGGCCTTGTAAAAGTATTGGGAAAACATGGCAAGCTCCAAGGTAAGCCTCGGCACATAAAGGAAATATGTGATGCAAGTATCTTGCCACTGGAATAACATGTGAATTGATATTAATGGTATATCATGTCCTGCAAAGTGCTTGAACACTTTGCATACAAATTTGCATGTGAATCCATCCAGAGCTGCATGGACAGTGTAGGCCATTAGTTTTAATGGATTGGCAAGCTTGTCATTTACATTTGCACAGCTCAGTGCTTTTTGCATTTCTACAGCTAGTTTTTATTAGCATTGCTGTTTGGATTGAGTTTGAAGATCATGACTTATGGCACAATTTGCTGATGTGCCTGCACTAATGGCTTTGTTTTTGCTTAAGAATGTCTGAAGGCTGAACATAAAACCTATAAACATAACCTTTATTTAAGAATATGAATTTTACTGTAGTCTTTGTCTTAACTTCTGATATTACCAAAAATATATACTTTAGTAAGTTTTTATTTAGAAGTTTGCAGAGAAAACCTCACTGATTATATAGCTGATACGCATTTGCTGATTTTCTCATTGTTGAGACAATGCTAAGCCTAATTATTTACACTTGATAATATGTTCTTACTGTTGCTTGTTTCTTACATTTTTCATTGGGTTTTATTTTGAAACTTCCGCCTTCCTCTCTCCCTTTTATTTCTAGAGAAGATTTTTTTTTTTTTTTTACAGTGAAAAATATGTGGAGAAAATACTTGATTTGAACACTGGATTTTTTTTAGGAAGTCTTTCTAACAGAGAAAACTCTTTATAAGGTTTAGCCTGCTTTTTTAAAATCACTTTTTGTGAAGCGGTCAAAACATTTTGTCTGTGCAATAATTAAAAACAACATTATAAAAATGCACTTATTCCATATCCTAAAATGTTTGTTTCTGCCTTTCTAATGAAGCTTAATGAATCTAATGTATTAACATGTAGTCTTTTGGAAAGCTTTCATTGGCTCTGCTTGGCTAATTAGTATCGACATAGCAAACAGGCCCTATCGGTATCAGGCCATTAGTCTGGCTGTATATACAGTGTAAACACATCTTTATTATCTGGCCTCCTGACAAGCCATCTGCTGAAGAAACAATGATGTGATTTAGCAGATGTTAGCTCTGAACGATAAAAGCATCCATTTAGGAGGATCTTACAGCTATAGGGCAGACCATACAGGGTTATGTGGTGCAGAGTGGGCACACAGTCCCTATCTATAATTTGTAGTCAAAGTTGCAGGGAAATGATAAAACCATGCTATTGTGGATTTATAATTGTAGTCTCGTTTAGAAATGCAAGTAGTAATTAACTTGAAATCGGCATTATACACTAGAATTTACATTCCTGCTGGGCTTGAAATGCTGTTTTAATAGCAGTTTGTTTTCCCTACATGAAATTACCTAAGGGTCTTTTGTGTTACTTCATTGTAGATGCTATTAACATTCTAAAGGAGATGAAAGAGAAGGATGTTGTTATCAAAGATGCAACAGTCTTGTCCTTTTTCCACATCCTAAATGGCGCAGCTTTAAGAGGTGAAACTGAAACAGTGAAACAGTTGCATGAAGCCATCATGACTCTAGGGTTAGCAAAACCATCCACTGCCTTAAGTTCCCCATTGGTCACTCTGTATCTGGAAAAGTAAGTTAATTGAATTTTGAATTTTAAATGTTGGCATTAAGATAATGAGTCTGATCATTTGGGGATTATATTTTGTCAGTACTCTGCTGCTTGGAAGCCTTGGAGGTTATTTGCCACAGAATAAGAGGACTTAATATGGACTGGTTGACCTTTAAAATAAGCAGCAACCCTGTGGGTTGCTTCTCAATGGAATGGTCTGTGGTGATTTTTTTTGTGGGGCGTGTGATGATATTACATGAAATTGAATCTAATTTTTCCCAGTTTGAGCCTTATAGGTGTTAATCACTAATATATAAGGAGGAAAGATTCTCTGGGGCTTTTGATTATGCATCATGACTGTCATTCAGGTAATAATGTAGCAGCATCTCTTTGGTTCTCCTTTTCTCCATGTGGTATTTGATTTTAATAGCATGTGCCAGTACAGTGACTCTAGCTTCCATTAATACTATAGAAGATGTCTCTGTGCCTTGGGGGAGGAAGATGAATTTTGTTGATATGATGAGGTTTATGGAGTTTGAAATTTTTTACATTTAAAATGCTCAAGTTGGTGCCCAATTTAAGATATTATTTGTAATGCAAATCATAAAAATCAACCCTACACTCTTGTAATGAGTGAAACATTTTAGTAAGACCATTAAGCACTCTTTATTATCTTTTTTTTGCATTTGATTTCCTTTTTTTTTATTTCCTAGATTTTTCTTGTCATCTTTTACAAGGCTTAATGCAGTTTTTAATCTGCCTATTTTGTGATTGGGATTTCTGATTTTATTTTATTTTAATTCCAAGGTAGTTAACATACAGAGTTATATTAGTTTCAGGTGTACAATATAGTGATTCAACACTTCTTATATTGCTGAGGGCTCATCAAGATAAATGTATGGGATTTTTCTGACTTTAGTATGGATGTGGCCCTGTCAATGCCAAGAGAAAAGTAAAAGATGTATTTTAATGGTTCTCATATTCTTCCCAAATTTCTGGTAGTTTTTCTTTATTTATTAGAGGGTATAATTAATTGAATATAATGAATGGTTTAGTATTGAATTTAAAATGGGAAATAAAAATCATCTTGGCTCCATGTTAGGAAATGTGGGTATACATATTTATACACACACAGATACATCCACATATGTTTGATGAAATAATTTCTTTGCCATCCAATCGAAAAATAGTTTATCAAGTTAGATGATTGGCCAGATCTTAACCTCTACAATCTCAGCATTACATCCTTTTAAAGAAATAGTGATTCAAACAATTAGTGTGTTACTGAGTTCTCATGTTCACAGCCAACTTTATATAGAAATCCTATAATTAATATGCTTCCTACCAGAATTTTTTTGATTGCTTGAAAGACCCATCTCTGCAAATTGCATGTGGAGCTCTGCATAGGGATTTGAAAGAAATGGGCCCAGTGCCCAGAAGAATTAGGCCCTCCTCCACTACTGGGCAAAAATAAAATAATTAACAATGAAAATGAGGCCCTGGTAGAAAAGTATCTTACAAATAGAAATACTTTGAAGACAGAGAAGACAACGAAAGTTTTCTGAAAGAGGTCTGCAGATGGGGCTCATGAACCAAGGAGAGCTTACCCACAGGAAAATGGAAATACCATGGGATTCAGATGTTAACCTGGAGCATGCTCCGTGTTTCTGATTATAGAGTACAGTCAGAGATTTGTATGTCTCAGTAAAATATGGCTGTCCCTATTAATTGGGCTAGAGAAATCTAAATTAGTATCTTTTATGATTTCTTAACTACTTTCAGATACATCAAGAAATTATTACCTGCTATTTTGATTTGCCTAGTCTTTTTTTGCTATCTTTGCTTTGCAGAGGCAATCTCCATGGCCGGATCTTTCAGTTTATCATAATACAAAGGTTTTTTGGTTGTTGTAGAGTCATGAGAATAATGAGGAGTTAAAGGAAATTTCATGTTTATAAAATAGCGGAAAACAGTAGTAGCACCTATCATCTGGGATAAGTTGGGGGAAAAGTTGTCTTTGAAAACTTTGTTTCAGTTGTGTTTTCCCTAACTGATGGAAGATAAATGATTCAGAATCATGACAAGTTAAGTACAAGGATTAACTACACTAGCCTGCCAAAAAGTCCACATAAACTTGATTTAATTAAATATGTTTACTCTTCAATAATACCATGTAATTGACCTCAGCAGGTATGAGCTCATCTGGAGAATGAGCCTTATTTATTCAGACTTGAGATAAAAGTATGAAATACATTTCAGAACATCATACAAAATCTTCAGCTTTTCGTTCAAAGACAAGCATCTTTTTGGAATGTCACTGCAAAAATCTCTAGAGACTGTCACTTAAGTATTGTAATTCTGGAACCAATCCATGAAATTGGGTTTTTTAGAAAGATGATCTTTAAGATTCAGAAAGATCTTAATTTTGAGACTGACTTTTCCAGCAGTAAATAAAACATGGGAGAAAGTAATCCTGGGTCTGTCTGTTTGTTGGAAAATGTATAAAAAGCTTTGTGGTTGTGGAAAACAATACATTTTGTTTCTGTTTATTTGCAAAGCAAAATACAAAATAATAACAGGTTTGCAAAATTGTGAAGTTGGTAAACTCATCTGTTTATTATCAAAATGATACTTGTATTAAATGGAAAGGTATGCACAGTTGAACAAAACTTTCATGTGTTTCATTTATGTTAGGATTATTGTATAAGCCACATGTCTATGTATAGTCCAAATGAATGTTATTTTAAACATTTTTTTGGTAACTACTTAAAATTTTTTTTTTATTGAAATCGTACCTGATTCTGGAAGATAATCTGGGTCCTCCATAATATGGAAGAAAAACATGCTTTAAAATAGGTTAAAAGAGCTTTTGATTAGTCTTTATGCTCTGGTAAAGGAAATGAAATTAATAAAATCTGGGCCATTAGGTTTAAAAGCATAAAAATGTGTATGATGTAGTTTCAGATTCACTTGTTTTATAGCTTATCCATTTTGGTTTCATTGCATATGAAAAATATCTGAAGCTGTTTAACTGGATTATTTAGTGCAAATGATTAAAGAAGCTTTAATTTCTGCTTTCCATTAAGGACTTTTCTGTGCTGATTTGTGCTATAATCTGTATATGCCCACATGCATTTTCATTTAAGTGAATCATGGACTTTGTATATTTAATCCTCCCAGAACTCTTGCCAAGTTAATCTTTAGTTCTTCATAAAGGTCACAATATCTGTAAGATGAACCTATAATCATAAAAGTTTTAAAACTCACTGTAGCACTTTAAAATGTTATATAAGTGGGAAATATACTTTTAAAAATGCTGGTTATTCTGTCATATACACTCCCCTTCAATTTTAGCGTCTTCATTTGTACTGGATACTTTTATTATTTATGGGAATGCTTGCCTTCTAGAGTAAAACTCTTTGTGTGCTGAAAGGAAATTAAGGAGGTTTGGCTCTTTTACTCCATTATTGCAATTAAGAATTTAGCATCATCAGTGCCAAAGGACAAAAGTGGTTCATTTGCCCTAGGGGGACAGGACAGTGATAAGATGATTTTTCGTCAAGGATCATTGGGTCGTAATTAAGTTACATTCATGGCTATTGCTTTTTGAAGGATGATTGGTAAATGACAGGCTTCATGTGCTTAGTACGGACAGTGTTCAGTAGGGTTTTTTCTGCCTCTGTCAGAAAATCCTGTTGAGCCTGATAATGTAAATGTGGCATTTTATTCTGAACAAAAGAGCAGGGAAATGAGCTATCTTGTCTAATCATTCAGTTGTTTAACACCGACTTCCAGTTTAGACTCAATTGGCTGGAAAGCACTTGACATGTGAAGTTAGTGCTGTTCGGAACGCATGTTTGAGTAAATTTTAAAGTAAGTGACAGCTAAATTGTACCTAGGGAAATTACAAAGCCTTCAACACAGTTAATTTTTTGGGGAGGATTAGTTGTAATTGCAACACCAGTCTCCTTGAAGATTCCTCATTTATAGATGATGAACAGAAAAAAAACATTTAGCTCTTTCAAAGGCTGGTTCTCTTAACAGAATAATTTTTATGAAGATGCTTGTTTCTCTTGAATTGATTTCTCTCCACACTGAACAACTGCTTAAGATTTATGGAATAGTTTGTTTTTAGAGTGTTGAAGTGTTTTTTCCCTTGTTTTAAACTTTTTTTCTCCCTCAAACTCCCCTTTTCTCTAGTGATTTCAGATTTTGAGAGCTTTTCAAGTCAGTGATCCCTTTAGGTAAATTGCCACTTCACTAACACTATGTATAATGTTGAAGCACTTTATTCCAATTAAAAATCAATATTTGTCTTTTTTCATGGTTTAAATTAAGTATACTCAGGGTTGGAAAGTAAGTTACTCTAAAGAGATTAAGTTTGAAGCTACTGATAGGTGAATAGATAGTTGTCACGAGTCATTCTTGTTCTAACAGTACAAGATTGTGTGAAATGCATTTATGATTTTTATAGTTAAGTACGGTGAGGAATTTGACTTAGGAGTGCTTTGTTTCCTGGTTTCTTTGAGTAGATATTTCTGTGATCAGTGGATGCCTCGTATGAATGTATGTCCAGTGTTTTTCTGTCAGTGACATTATACCATACTTTAATTCCATTAATAATGACTAAAACTAAAGGTGGTATCAGATTTGCCGTGTGAGCTTCAAGCTTGCAGTTTTAGATGTTCCTCCATGAAATAATGCAAAATTACAGTTTGTAGTGGGGTATATAGGGTCATGTTCCCTTAAAGAAGTGAATTGGAGATTGTAGAGTGTATTTTAATATGGACCAAGTACATTCAAGTTAATAAGTAAAACTCTTAGTTGTAAATCTTTCTTTAAAAGATATATTTGAGAGAGTGTGAGCGTGTGAGAGCACAAGTGCGGGGAGAGGAGGGAATCTCAAGTGGACTGTGTGCTGAGCATAGAGCCTGATGTGGCGCTCGATCTCATAAACCTGAGATCATGACCTGAGCTGAAACCAAGAGTCGGACAGTTAACCAGCTGAGCCACCCAGGCACCCCAATAAATAAAACTCTCTTTTAAGTGTTCAAATTACTTACTGGACTCAGCCTATGATATATATTTGTTCTTAAAATTTAGAATTATAGAATCTTCCTTTTTCCTGTTCTGCCTTTGTAGATTCACAGGATTTTGATAAAGCTTATAGTAATTTTCATCAATCAAAAAGATTTTTTAAATGATTGCTTATTAACATATATAGTTTCATTCATGAAAATTATTATATACACTTCATTGAAATACTTTGGGGAGGTCTAGTCATTGAAAAAAAGTCATTAGTGGGTTTGCCTTTTTTTTTTTTTTTTAGAGCTACCAATATGTTATGGAGTTGGTTTTCTTTTAGCATTATTTGAGGTTTGTGAAAGCCGTGGCTAAATTTTTATCAGGAATGGGCTTAAAAATTTGTGACACATTTGTATATAAAGCTTTCAGAATGATGAATACATACTGAAGTAAGCATAAAATCACAAGTTGTTTTGCATCCAGAATTAATGCTATCAATAAGATTTCTTTAAAACATTACTGTTATTTTAGAGTAGGGTTTTAAATCAACTGTTGTGTTTTAAAGTATGCAAAGGAAATCACAAAATCACCTTCGGTCACAGCACCTAGAAGTACCCTGAGTGGTTAAAGTGTTGTGTAACATCTCGGATATAAAGCAGTTTCCATGTTTTTCCTTTGGATATTTTACTGTTCTTGCTGACTTTATCTTGCCTAGTAGAAGTGATCCTTTCACGTGATGATTTTCTCTGCCGGTCTGAAACATTTGAGTTGATGAAATCTAATAAGCTCAAATTCATAGAACCTCACATTAGAGAATTAGAACTGGGAGGGAACCCAGAGGTTCCTTGAGTTTAGCCATTGTGATAAGCTGCTTTTCATCACCACTTCTGAAATTTATCATACGGCTGTAGTGGGATTGAAATTTAAAAGTCCTGTGAGTATATAACTATTTTCATAGCAGTGTCAATTTTAGATACTTTTTCATATTTTTCATTTTCATCCCCCAAGTTTTTAAGCTTTAGTAGGAAAGATTAATGATGACATCATATTACATGAAAGATGGACATTTTTATCTCTTTTTAATATGACGTGATCCAAGCACAAGTCAGAATGTAGATGATAGGGATTGAGAAGAAGGGACTAATTATTAGTTCATTTCTTTTTTTTTCTCCCCAGTTCATTTCTGTCATCAGTCCACTTACATGAAATGTTTCATTATAGATTTCTAACTCATTTTGTTGGCAACCTGAGAGCAGTGACTGTAGTACTTTTAAGTAATTTTAATTACTAACAAATATATGAATTATTTCCATTTTGCTATTCTTGTCTTTTCTGTTGTTGTTCTGAGCATGTATAATCTTCAGAAGCATATATTTGGAGACCAAAGACTATTAACATGTCTCTTTGATTGACAGAACAATTATTCATTCATTTATTGATAGCTTTGACCTAATGTAGGGGAAATACAGTTGAGACATACTCTTCTAGTTTGGGAATTGATCTGAAAAAGCAGATCATACTCCTTTAAAAAAAAATCAGTATGTGTTAGTTGTTCTCTTGAAAATATCGTAATAGTTTTTCGTTAAATGGAATTGTAGAAGGCTAACAACTGAACCTGTGTCTGAAGCAAGGGGAAATACTGATTATATAAAGGTTTATATCATATGTGGTAGCTACTGTAGCATTTCTCTTGTATGACAGTAATCTAGCCTGCAACATCTACTTGCGGTTTTGAAATTAACCTGTAATTTAGTCTTCACCCCAAATGACAAAAATTCAAATGACTCTGTGGGGTGCCAGAAGATGCACTGTAAACAGGGCTTAGGAAGGGGATAAGGTAGAGCTCTGGCAGGATCGGCTCGCTTTCACTGTGTCAGTATTATTGCAATAAAATTAACACTTCTTTGTGGTATTTTCCTTTCAGTACAGCTTAAAATCTTAATCTAGATAAAATAGTAATTCAGTCTCAGGCAACATAACATTTGTATAATGGACCAAAATGTTAGGGCTTCAACAGAAATTTTAAAAATGCTTTCCTCCTCTTGAAAACGATTGCATGTGAGAGAAAAGTGTTTTCTCCGCAGAGCTTGTTAAGAACTGTCAGTAACCATGCGTCTCTTTCTATATTTCATACTTTCTTTTCAAAAACTTTAATTTCTTATTCCACATCGCACCACCTTATTAGGTTAAACAGGCAGCCGTGTTTTTGCTAGAGCATAATGTGTGAGTAGACGGAGTCAACTGAAAGTGGGAAGTGGGAAAGCAGTGCCTTCCTCTGTTTACCCTAATAGCCTTAGGCTGGTTATTCAGTCTTTACATGCCTTGATTTCCTCATCTATTTAAAAATAAAGGAGGGTGGCATGTAGAATTGGATCACATAATTTCTACAGTTTTTCCAAGGTCTTACGTATTTCTCATACTGTAATTTTCCTTTTAAAGGAAAAAGTTTTTGAGGGCTCACAAGAATGCATTTCCACAGTCTTGTTTAAGAAATTCTTTTTTTTTTTTTTAAAGATTTTATTTATTTATTTGACAGAGAGAGACACAGCGAGAGAGGGAACACAAGCAGGGGGAGTGGGAGAGGGAGAAGCAGGCTTCCCGCGGAGCAGAGAGCCCGATGCGGGGCTCTATCCCCAAACCCTTGGATCATGACCTGAGCCGAAGGCAGACGCTTAACGACTGAGCCACCCAGGCACCCCAAGAAATTCTGACTTAATGAAAATATCTTTCTTTTAATTTGTTACCACAGAAGAGAAACTTTGACTTGACAGTGGGAAATAATTTTTTTTTTGAGATTTTATTTTTAAGTAATCTCAACACGGGGCTCAAACTCACAACCCTTAGATCAAGAGTCCCATACTCCATTGACTGAGCCAGCCAGCTACCCCTGGAAGTAATTTTTAAGAGCTTGCCTTCTAATGAGGGTTCTTCTAGAATTCACTGATCGATCTTAAGAATGTTTGAGTTTTTAGCCACAATAAGTTTCTGTATATATGAATCCTGAAATTATTTCCTCCTTGTCTGGAGAGGTGGCAGTATGAAAAATAGGATGATAAAGTTGAAAGTACTTGAAAATTCCTTGGTAGCTGTTGATAGACATTTCATAATGTTTCCCAAATCTAGAATTGTTGAGGACTATAAACACACATAAGTAGTTAGAAAAAATATTTGATTGTAGTCCTTGTTTTTAGAAATAATGTATTCTTATGACAACTTAACATATGAAATCAGATTTTTTAAAAAGATTTTATTTAGAGCGTGTGGGTGTGTGAGCATGAACGGGGGGGGGGGAAGGGGGAGAGGGCAAGCTGACTCCCTGCTGAGTGTGGATCCTAATGTGGGGGCTCGATCCCAGGACCCTGAGATCATGACCTGAGCTGGAACCAAGTCGGACGCTCAACTGCCTGAGCCACCCAGGCACCCCTGAAATCAGACTTTATTTATAATAATCTCAGAGAATGCCTTCATTTATTTGGACTTTTTCTTAAGAGTGCTATTTAGGGGTGCCTGGGTGGCTTAGTTGGTTAAGCATCCGATTCTTGATCTCAACTCAGGTCTTGATCTCAGAGTCATGAGTTCAAGCCCCATGTTGGGCTCCATGCCCAACTTTAAAAAAATAAAAACAAAAAGAGTGCTATTTAGCAAGTGAAATAATGAAAGATGAAGGGGGGAAAATAGGGAACTGTTACTGATGTCTGTACTCAGAACATTTATTTATACTATATAAGGATTGTCTTTTTCCATTTTGGCTTTTTGAAAGCTCAGTCGTGTACATTTTGACTGCTCGTTTTGTACTTCTAGATATAGTTTATTCATTGTTCATATTTTGATGTTTCCAAGGGATGACTTATGTGCTGCTCTTGAAGTCGCCATCGATTGCTATGCAAAGTATAAAGTATTACCAAGGATTCATGATATCTTATGTAAACTGATAGACAAAGGCGAGACTGATCTAATTCAGAAAGGTTGGTCACCTCCAGTATCTTGCTGTAGTTGTTTTTCTGCAGTTTTTCCCTTCTTGCTTATTTAATCTCAGTGCATTGCTGTGAAGAGAAAATTTAACAGGAAGGGAAGTACATCCAGGGGAACTTTGCTATACTTCTAAAGTAAAAAGGACAATGTCAGGTAGATTTTCAATGCTGTCAGGTATCCTTGATTTTAATAACTGTTCATTTTGCAAACTTGCCTATTAATTTTTCCTCTACTTCTTGGTGATCTGCCTTCTCTGAGGAGTTTTCCCCCTTTATCTTTACCAGTTCTCTTTGAGTCTAGTCTTAGGTACTTAGTGTCCTAAACGTTTGCTGTTAGATAAGGAATGTGATCGAAAATGGGTTGACACAGCGCTAGTCTTTAAGTTATTGTAAATATTTGTTTTAAAGTTTTCGTATTTGTCCAGAACTTTAAGTGATACTGTGTTTCTTTATATTTTCGCTTCTCCTCTCTAGCAATGAACTTTGTAAGCCAAGAACAAGGTGAGATGACGATGCTGTATGATCTCTTCTTTGCTTTCCTACAAACAGGAAATTACAAAGAGGCCAAGAAGATCATTGAGGTAGGATTTTTAACTACACTATTCTAATTGTACAGCTATTTAGACTCTTAATTGGAATATGTTTAAAAATGTTAACCTTTGATTATGGTTGTTCTGATTCATGTTAATATAATTCAATCCCGATAAATGGGGGCTGGGGGGGTAGGACTCGACCAGCTTCCTTATTGTATATAATTACAGTTCAGAAAAGGCAGCCTGGTTGTATATTGAATTTGTTGCCTCACTTTGTTAAATTCACTATTATGTATCAAAATGATATTTGCATATTAAATCTTGGATTGTGGAACAATTAAATTAAACTGGCATTCCTGGGTGTAAAGTGGCTAATCCTCTTTCCCAAGGAATTCTTTGTTCTTAAAAGCAGTGGAATTTAATTTGCTGCAGGCCGTGCTCAGATGTATTTGTAATGCTTGTCTACAAGTTAATCAGCCAAACAAGTGCTGTCTGCAACTGTTTGGCATTTAATTTAAAATTTCTTCTTCTTCTCCTTTTCTTTTTTTTTAAACTATGGTAAGCAGCTTATGGGAAATGGTAGGTGACAAACCTGGCCTATTTAGGATTAGTGTATTGTATCTAGGCTTGATTGAAATTTTGCTTACTGAAATTGATAAGTCAAAGGGCAACTATAAAGTCTGTCCAAATTGATTAACTTCACTATTAAACAGCTCTGTTTCCTCTAAATAAAACATTCTGCAGAGGATAGACCCATTACCTTAAGAAAAATTATTTGATGTGAAATAAATAAAATATATATCAGTAATCCTGTTTCTGTCAGATCATACTTTGCCCTTATTACTCCATGTTTTTTTCCAAAAGTTCCCATGGTGGATGGGACACAAAGCTGGTATTTGGCCTCCTTATTTGTATATTGATGACAGCTTATCATGAAGTTGAAAATGTAGACATACAACCCTGAAAATTATTAGTTTCTCTTGATGTTTTTCAAAAAGAAAAGTATGAAAAGGGAAGACTGTGAAATTGATTCAGAATGTTCTTTCTCGGTCTGTCTTACAGCTCAGTCTGTCCTGTCAGAGAGAAGTGGGACATGCTATCTTGGACAGGTGCTTCTGTAGCTCAAGTAGTTTATTTGTATTCTCTAGAAAATAGTATAAATTCTTTCATTAAAAGTGCCTGGTGTATCTGAAAATGCGGGAAGCTGTCTGCCTTTTGAGTTCTGTTGCTCTGTATGCCTGGTATCAGTATTAGCTGGGCACTGATCAGAGGGAAAATGAAGCTTAGGTATTCACATAATAGTGACGAGAGGCTCTATAGTAGGAAATCATGTGTGTCTCTTTATGCAATAATCAAGATATAATAGGAAGAGCCAAAGGCATAAGAGTGAGCTCTCCTTTTGCCATCTACTTGCTAGTGTGGTAATGGACAGTTACTAAACCTTTTTAAGCTTCCTTCTCTATAAAAGAGAAGGGAATATAGTATCTTTCTTTAAGATTTAATATAAAAGGGAATGTAGTATCTTTCTTTAAGATTCAATCACATAATGTATGTAAAGCAGCTTGCATGTTTCTGGATTATGGTAGTAATCAATAATATTAATTCTCTTTGCCCCTTAAAAGTAGGGATTGTGTTATCTGATTTGCCCCACATAATTCACAGTATGATGCTTAAGCATAAAGGTACATGTTGTCACATGAATAGGTAAGAGAAAACTGCCTCTTAATTACTTTAAAGCTTTGCCAATGCAACATCATTGACTGTAATCATTTAGGGATGCTGTCTACTGATGACAGAATTTTCATAGTGGATGTGTACAAAATTGCTTAAAGGATAAAAAATGGCTTTACAGAACCCCTGCAGTATTCTAGGGTAGGACAGCCCGTGTGTGATACATGGGAGTATACTGAAGCACATTTCTAGTTTCTTTTTTTTTAATGGTTAGTTGGATTTGAATTGAAGTGGGAACTTGCTTTTTTCACTATTAAAAGTCAAGACCTGGAATTCTCTCTTGTAGTTTTCTAAGGATTATTGAAAATATAAAGAGTAATAAAAAATAATAAACTATGTATCAGCATGTGAAAGAATATTGTAAATGCGGAGCAACATTTTTTTATCATTCTCAAAAATGCAGTAGTGTCTTATCAATGGGTAGATTTGCTAGGGTTGAGTTTCCAAAGCAAAATATAAAATGAAGCTTCTTTGTATTTCAAGCACTGTGGGAGATAAGATAAGCCAGTCATAAAAAATGGTCACATTAAATGAAGAAAGAAGAGGCAGGATTCGGTGTGTAATAGGACTTGTGTTGTTTTTTAAATGAGCTGGTGTACATATATCATGTATTATACATAATACATTTTTATTTTTATTTTTATCATTTTACTTATTTATTTTGATGGAGAGAGAGAGAGAGAGCGAGAGAGGGAACACAAGCCGGGGGAGTGGGAGAGGGAGAAGCAGGATTCCCACTGAGTGAGGAGCCCAACACAGGGTTCGATCCCAGGACCCTGGGACCATGCATGACCTGAGCCGAAGGCAGATGCTTAACGACTGAACCACACAGGCACCCCTATAATACATTTTTAATATTACATTTTATTTCCATACGTGGATTATTGCAAGAGAGTGGACTTACAGCTGCTATTCTACTTTATACCTTTCTGTATTTCCTGAGTTTTCTATAATGAGCATATAAATTCTTATACTCAGAAAAAGTGTGTTCTCCCAAAAGAAGGAAAGAGAAAAGTGAATCAGATGAAGATTTATTAAAAGCGAATCAGACCAAGAGCTAATGTGAAGCTCCTTGAATGTGAGATTAATGTGTGAGAATAATTACTGAGAAGTGTTAACTGCTATAAGAAAAGTATGAATACTTCTGAGAGTTCACGGGTGGAACTTATTCCCAGTGAAGGAAATTAGGCAAGACTTTCTGGAGGAAATGGAGCATGAGGGGGGTTGATGCATATAGTATTCTTTAACATTCGAGAGTTTGATAGGGCTAGGAAGGGTATTACAGGTATTAGAGATCAAGCAAAGAAGTAGATAGAGGAAATCTCTAAATAGTTCTTTTTCCCCAGCTTTATTGAGATATAATTGACATGTAACATTATGTCAGATTAAGGTATACAGCATGTTAATTTGATTACTTATATTTTACAAAATGATTACTGCAGTAGCATTAGTTAACACCTCACATAATTACCATTTCTTTTTTGTGATGAGAACATGTAAGATTTACTGTCTTAGTGGGGCGCCGCCTGGGTGGCTCAGTTGGTTAAGTGTCCGACTCTTGATTGCAGTTCAGGTCTTAATCTCAGGGTCAGGAGTTTAAGCCCAGCTTGGAGCACTTAAAAAATATAGATAGATATAATAGGTATATATACATAAATATATAGATATACAGATTTATTCTCTTAACTTTCAAGTATATAATATTGTTTCTCTTTTTTATTAATAACTTTTTAAAAAGGTTTATTTATTTAATCTCTACACCCAGTGTAGGGCTCAAACTCAAGACCCTGAGATCAAGAGTCACACACTCCTCTGATTGAGCCAGCCAGCACCCTTGTAATATACTATTGTATATAATATAGTATTGTTAACTGCAATCACCATGCTATACGTTAGGTCCCCAGAACCTATTGATCTTATATGGGAAGTCTGTACCCTTTGACTAGTATCTCCCCATTTCCCCCAAGCCCCTGGCAAACACCATTCTAGAAGTTTGGTTGTTTTAGATTTGATATATAAGTGAGATTATACTGTATCTGTCTTTTTCTGCCTGACATATTTCACTTAGCATAATACCCTCAAGGTCCATCCTGTTTGACCAATTTCCCCTGCCTCCCTTCTTCCCTCCTTTCCTCTTTCCCTGCCTGTCTCCTTCTTCCCTCTCTCTCTCCTTTAAATCAGTAATAAATAATTATTTTTTTAAGATTTTATTTATGTCAGACAGCGAGAGAGAGAGAGAGAGAGAGAGCACGACCAGGCGGGAGAGGCAGAGGGAGAAGCTGACTCCCCACTGAGCAGGGAGCCAGACATGGGGCTCCATCCCAGGACCCTGGGATCATGACCCAAGCCAAAGGCAGACACTTAACCAACTGAGCCACGCAGGCACCCCAATAATAAATACTTATTGATGACATCTTACAGTCTAGTTGTAGAAAAAGACCTTAAAAAAATGAATCTATATAATGCAGTAATTGCTGTAGAAAAGACCTATTGCAGATTTGATCTTTCTGAGGAAGTCCATATTTGGGATGAGAACTAAAGGATGAATTGGGGGCCAGCCACATGGAGGGGAGGCAAAAGCATTTCAGGTAGAGGGAACTCCCTGTGCAAAGGCCTTGAGGCAGGAAAGTGCTTCCATCTTTTATCTTTGTTCTGTCTCTTAGGGCTCTTACCAGATAACACTCAAAAGAATGTCTGGTCCATTATTAAATACTTAATGTTAGTTTTATCCCCTTCCTCCTGTGTGACAGTCTTCCCTGTATTGAAGTCAGCCCTTCTGTCTCGCCTGCAGTCTCATCCTCTGCAGGGTAACTCTCCCTACCTAGATCCTCTCAGTGTTCTGCTGGCACGTTCTGGAATGAAATTGAGGAAATGTTCACAACTTATTTTTACAAACTTACATAATATCAGGTCAATATTTTGTGAACTGTATTCTGTGTTGTACCAGTGATGATGATCAATGTGACTTTTTCCCCCTGTGACTAGATTCACGTAAAATTTACACATGTTCCTTTTTAAAATATGCCAAGTATGAAGATGCACTGTTAATCTCATTACTCATCTAATCATTTCTGTGGTTTTTCTGTCCTTTATATAGTGAATATTTCTTTTATATATAATTGAAATAAATCAGACCATAGGTTCACCCTACATCACTGTTTCTGCATTCCATGCCTATGTAATTGAGAACTCTTCTGATCATTATTTTTAATGACATCATTCTATAGTATAAATGAACTAAAGTTTACTTGCCCATTTCTGTTTTGAGAAAAATTTTTACTATTAAAAGAAATCATCATAATTCACATCTTAACTTA